CAGAAGAGTCATCCAACATGTATACATAGCACTGGTCATGTGTCATAGCTTTGTAGCTGAATACACATTAAATGATTAAAAAAAAATGCAACCAACTGAGCAACCATGCCATTTATCCTATATTAACAACCCATCTCTCATACTGCACACATTACTACTTGTAATGTCGTTATGTAGAGACTGGATCTCCTCCATGCGCCATAATGCCATGTTGCCATAATAACTACCAATGCACCAGCTACTAGATCTACCATACTACATAGCTGAGCATAACACTTACTGGAGCACTCCGCAATCAATTGGCCTACTATACCACCATTGTCACCGTTTCCCTCGATAACCAGGAGACCGCCCTCCGTCTACTCGCAGATACACCTACCGCGTCTAGCTTCACAAGAATTCACCACTTTCGAATGCTCGCAGTAAGCTGGAAAAGGAGGCCACGTTGCAAAAATACGGCGCCTGGAGAAGTAGCTGCTCGCTGGTGCCCAGGTCACGCAGGTATCATTTGAAACAAAACCGCTGATGCGCTTGATGAAGCTGCATCTGCGGCTCCAGCTCCACTACTGGCACTCTCTATCGCTAGTGCAAGGAGGTAAATAAAGGCCTAATACGAGGCCTCTGCCGTACTCTACTGGGCTGAAAACTCGCCGTCTCGATACAAAGAGTTAGTAATTGGATCAAATACCAATATTAATGTTGAGCTCACCCATCTTGGACGACGCATACTCGGATATCTGCTAGCTGCAAGATCTGGACACGACAACTTTCCGGAATACCATCAAAGATCTCAGCACAAAAACGCTATTCTAACATGTCAATGTAGACGGGAGGAATCCCCTGATCACTTCATCTACTGGCACATTGGACAGTATCAGAATCGGCTAAAGAGGATCCAAAATTTTACTCCCAAAATATCTTGGGATGTGGCCTCAGTGGAGTGAGTTAACGCCTTAAATAGCTGGGCACGCACCATAGGTTTCTTCACAGAGGCACAACAGCAAGTCTGGCTAGACTTGAACCACTGAATAGAAGATTAGAGAGCCTTAGGTTGATATAGATTCATTCTCTTTTTTTTCTATTTTTACGATTTCCTGTAATTACCAACTGTAAATCATCGGGGCTAGCAAGAGGCTGACATCCGTGTATATTTGAGTCTTCGAGCGCAGGAATAATAGATCCTTCCTTTTTATTGCCATGTTGGGTCTGTTTAGGCGCCAATACGTCGGGCAATTTTACTTGAACTGGGCTAACCGGTAAGTGACGTAACGGCTAGTGAGCCGATAACTACACTGTATCATATGCTGTTAAACACGCGCTGTAAGACTCTACGAAACTCACTTTTTTATTATAGATTAATTTGGACGTCAGTAGATATTTCTAGTAACTGGTTGTAAGACCGCAAACCAGCCTCAGGGGAAAAAACTAGAAACTGGCATCAGGTGGGAAGAATATTCTAGATAACATAGTGTCATGTAGAGACATGATTCATTCATGGGTCGATATTGTTCAGACGATCATGACTATATCACAACGTCATGTATAGGCACGATTCATTGTTTGTACCTGTTGTATCAACCATGACTATGTCTCAGTGATATGAGAAACATCATTGACTAGTTACTAGAAACCTAATCAAGATCCTAAACACACAACTGAGACTAGGAGAATTTTACTGAGTAAGTAATTATTCTGATGAATCTAGATCTAGAGGAACATAATCTGGCTGCTTGGCTCGAGGTATATGAACCGGAGCATATCATGTATAATAAAAAATATAGAAATCCATCTCAATTACAATCATCATCTTAATTCATGTCACCAACAATAGCTGCAAAGGACAGTTTAACTATTTCCTTATACATAGTGAGTGTATAAATAGTTGAATTAAGAGACACACAGATAGCCACATAGAAAATGATAAATTACTTCCGTAAGTAGGGCCCAAAGTAGTATTGCAGTTCAGATAAGAAGTGGGCACAATGATTTCAACTCTTATCTGTATCGAAGGAAAGTCCCCGGAATGATTAATCCAAAATGCCAGTATGGATATCCGTCTCAAAATGTTAAATATATGGTCTTGGCGTGTCCTCAGTGGACAATGGGGAGAGGAGAGGTGCTTCGAAAGGAAAAAGATAGGTCATTTGCGGCATTGATGAACAGCCCAGATTGTCAGATGGTTAGGAATATGGTTTGATTGTAAGCTATCATTTAAAACCCATGTTGACAAGAGAATGCAGCTTGCAAATGGAGCTCTTCTTAGGCTCAAGAACCTTGCTTCTTCAACTAAAGGAATCAAATTCAATCAACTTCGACAGCTTTATATTGCCTGTGTAACATCAGTGCTAGATTACGGCTCTATTCTATGGTATGGGAAGAGCCGATCTCTTCATCTCATTGAAAAAAGTCAGAAACTACAGAACCGAGCAGTAGTCCTTGTCACAGGAGCTTACTCTAGCAGCCCCTCGAAAGCTTTGGAAGTAGAGGCCGCCCTTCCACCTGTGAAGGTGCGACATCTAAGACTAGCCTACAACTATGCCCTCAGGATACTAAAGATGCAGCCCTTGAATCCAATACAAATTCAGCTACTTAGCTCAGTTCAAGATGACCTGTCCATAGGTACTGCCATCAGCCTTGACATGATTGATGACCTACAAGAAGTTAACACCCAGCTCATGAAGATTGGACATCTGCTCATAGGGCTCTCAGATTGCAATGGATTGGAAACAAGCAATGCAGAATGGGCACCACCTTGGCTAGCAAATCATATGTATACTAAAATAAGTAATTCTTCTAAGCATGCAGCAAGGGATGAGCACATTCTTCTGCTAAAAGAAATCCCAAATCATGCATCAATTGTATACACAGATTTTTCCCTAACAAAAAGCAATGGAAGTAGCCTTGGATTTGTGGTATACTTGCCATTCACAAGACAGGTGAAATGTTTCTCTTACAATCCCGGACATACAATTACAATCTCAGATGCTGAGACATATTGTATCTTGAAAGCTTTAAAATATTTCATCTCCAATAAATATTCCAGAGAGATCTGGGTCTTTTCTGATAGTCAAGCAGCAATTCAGAGGGTCAGCAAAGCTAGCAACTTTATTTCACATCAAATAAGGATAAAAAGCCATAAATATCAAATACATCTACACTGATGCCCAGGCCATGAAGGTATCGCTGGAAATGAGCTAGCAGACAATCTGGCAAGAGGTGGAGCCAAGAAAAAAGTCAAAAAAAGAGATAAATTCACAACTATTGCTTACCTTAAGCAGAAGGCAAAGGAAATGACTCTCAAAGCCTTGCAAAATGACTGGGAGACCCAAGTCTTGAGACAGGAAGAGGGTAGAAGGGCTAAAGGACTGGGAAGGCTTTATCAAGTGCAAGCCAGGAAAAGATCACCTATAATAAAAATGAGGCCATACAACTTCAGTCATTACAGTAGAATGACACAATCTTCATTTATACAAGCGAGAACAGGGATCGGAAATACCAGGGCCCATTTATTTCGAATTAAAAAAGTAAGGGATAACTCTTGCATCTTTTGTTGGAAGGGAAAACAGACTGTTCAACACCTACTTCTTTATTGTAGTAAATTTAAGACTGGAAGAAAGGAAGCTTTTAAAGGCATATTGCCATTGAGATTAGAGATATTGTTTAACACAAAAATTGGAAAAGAAGCAACTCTCCACTTCCTTCAAGGCAGTGGATGCATGAATGCATCCAAAGCTGACTGAAAGGGAGGAGACTAGAAGATAAGTAGAGGAAATGGGGGTTAAATATTTGTATTTAGATATAAAATAATCAGATGTGTCAAAGCTAGATAGCTGAATACACTATGAATTAAAAAAAAAAGAATAGCCCAGATGATATAGAGAGAATCACAAAATGGATCCTGGCAAAAGGCTGGTTTAAACAATTCCAGCTTGCAGGAGAAGTAGAAATAGCATTGGACGAAAAGATGAAATGATGTGGACAAAGATAAGACGAAATTCACAATGTGTAAACAGTGTAAACGCACTTCCTGCAGGAAACCTCAGAAAACCAATAGACACGAGACAGTCAGTTTTAGGGGTTTTTTACCGAATTTGGTTTCCTCCTGTGTAAATATTATAGCTAGATATACCTGTATGGGTCCATAGGGTACCTGAACGGGCTAAATGAAATTAAATCAAAAACTACTTCCGTACATCTGATCGCTCCAGCATCGACACTCGAGCCGTGACACGTGAAGAGCTCACGTGCTGTGCGCGGGTACGACGGTAATTAATATAAATAAATAAAGAAAGAGTGTAATAAAGACCAGGCCGAGCCATTCTTAGAGTTGATAGGGATGATGTGGTTGATTTATATGGAAGTCACTTGAGTGTAACTGCGCTTCTAGAAGAATACATTAGAAAAACATGACAATAAACAGTAAATATTGGGGGGTTTTCACCCAAAGGTTCCCTCCCCTGTAAATTAGAAAGCATGATAGACACCTACATTGGCCCATAGGGCGCTAAATCAGGATAATGAAATCAAATAAGTAATAAATAATAAATAATATAACGATCAGGGTCTGAAGTAACGTTTATCACTCCTGGCAAGCAAGCCGCGCTTCCAGCCTTTGTCATCCATAAAATTATCGCTTACCGAAAAAGTCGGTTACCGCTGATTCTCGTCGAAAGTTTGCTCACATTAGTATCTGAGCCGACTTATCTTTTTATGTATCTGTTAAGAATTATTTATTTTTTTGGGGCAAAAAACCTCCAGCGAAATAACGCGCGCTAATTTTTGTTTCGCTATTCTATAGCTACATTGAGTCGTGATTGACGGTCAGCGGAAAAAGTGATAGATGTGGGGCTAAAGAGTTACCGTACTCTTAATGAGACAACGGAATCTAAAAGCTCATCTTATTCAGTACACATTTTGTGAAAGGGAAAGTGTAAAACAATGTGATAATATCCCATCCAATTCAACGCCCGTAATGCATAATTCCCGAATAAATTCCTCGATCATTGCTCCGTATCATCTACAGTATCCTCTACAGTTGCAGCTGGCGCTTTTCCGTTGCTTTTACCGCTTCCGTCCACTTCAATATTACATACTCCTTTTGGGCTAATTTCTCCAACTGGAGCTTGCAGGACTTGAGACCTGGCCTTTTCACCTGGTATTAGCTCTGTATCAGGGCGCGTCGAAACGAGCTGCGAAGGCTCCACATTATGAGGAGAGTTGGAGTCCTTTTGCGCAACAGGTTGGGAGTCTCTTTCAATGTCATTTGTTTTTATATCGGATTTTTTTAGGGATGTGTTTGTGATCTCCATTTTACTAATATCTGGAGATGAAACTGATGGACAAAATTTGTCTCTATCAACGTGTGAGGTACCTAAAGGTTGGTCCGATTTACTAGTTGATTCTAAAGCTGGTTCCGTATTTGAACTCTTTTCAGGATCAGTAGTAGTTCCGCGCGGGATATTAGAAGGCTCTTCCGCTTGTGAATTACTAGTAATAGCGCTAGGTACTCTATCGACACTTTGCAAGGGGAGAAGAGACCATCCTTCTGGAATAGTTACTCCTGGTGGAAGGTCTATGTGTCCAGATGGAATAGTTGAAGTTGATACAGGCTGGAAGGTCTGAACTCGAGGGGGGAGCGTCGGAATTGTGCGCGATGATGATGGTGCAAATGGTGGTACTTGAGCGATCGATATATTTCCTGATAAGGGCTCTGCCGTTCCATTCCGTATAGCTCGAATCCTCTCGAGCTCTGCCCGCAATAAATTGACGAGTTGCCACTCTTGTTGGGTAAGACGAAGGTTGGAGATTTCACCTATAATTTGATTTTCTAGAGTCCGTAATTGTTGTTGTAAGCTTAGCACTGGAGGGGTATTACTTGTACTGGCCGGTTGTTGCTGAGGCTGAGCTCGACGTGGGAACCCTAGCTCCAAACCATACACCCTGGGTCCACCAATCCCGGCATTCTCGGGTCCTGCTTGGGGGCCACCGAGTTCACGGGCTAAGTCTTGGAGATTCGCCTGTCCGAATCCAACCCTTAGAGGCCCGAGGTTTAACATTCGCATGCCTCTTCCTGGTGCTCGGCCAGCTACTGGCTGCTGGCCCCCAATCCCTTCTTGTTGAGCGGGTTGTTGAGGTGGTAAACCTATTCCAGGAGCAGCTCCTAACGCAGCTCCCGGTGTTTGATTTTGAGGATCGACTACTGGACGTCGACAGGTGGGACAAACTTGTTGCCGCTCTAGCCAGCTTTTAAGACATCCAAGGTGTAATATATGACCACATGGCAGTTTTTTTGGACGTGTTCGCTCGTTGATTGGACCGGTAGGGCGGGCAGGTGGCACTCCATCAATAGCTTCACCCCCCGGTGGCTGTAAGTCGACAGCGATCCAAGGCCTCATATCTTCGCGACATATTATACAGGTATCTTCTCGTTGTATATCTTCCGCTGTTGCGTCTGGGTACCTTGCATTCATGTCCCGTGTTGCTCGTCGATATCGGAGGAAAGCTGCAAGGCGCTTCATGCACGATCTAGCCGTTAGTAGTAGGTCACGAATTATATGAATAGGTATGCCATAAAACATCAATAAAACAATGAAGAACGAAGTGTAGATGCCAAATTTCACGAAGTCTAGTATCATGTTAGCATCAATCTTTAAGGACCGATGGATATGCCCACCAGTAATAAGATCCAGCGTGAGTAGCCATTGGCCTTTAGCCTCCCAGCCGGGAACATCAATATCAGTTTCATCCATATCATCTTCGGATGGCAGCTGGGTTGTAGTTTGGGGTTCGTTTTCCGTGCTAGAGGCGGTAGAAGCTTCACGCTGCTGCAGGATCCGAATCCTTTCCTCCCGAATTTCCCGGCGACGCTCGTTAAGTAAGTCCTGGGTCTGTTTCTTTATGATACTAGCTTCCGTTAATGAAATTCCGTATCGAAAAGCCGTTGATAATGAGGTGGTTGTCAATATAGTGAATTCGAATAAGAACATGACCATCATATTCGGCCGAGCTTGCTGGATCACAGAGCTTATGATGTATTTCATCATGATTAGATCATAAATCACTGAAATTGCTAACGAAGTCGACAGTCGAATGTGAAAAAGTCTGGGGTTAGAAGGCGGTTGTTGTCCTAAAATCTCCACCCGCCCATCACCAATCCAACCCCATACTTTGCCAGTCAAAAGCCCAACGAACATTACTAAGAACCAAGCTCCAACCTCTTCTCGAAAGATTGTCATAGCTAGACACGTCTCAGTTACTGCGAACCATCCTTTCTCATAAAGCTGTTCAATTTCTATCGGTCTCAGCTCGCCGAAGCATAATCTTTGTAGGCTGTACATAAGAGTTCCGTAAACTAGTAGCATGAGGTTGATTAATATCTATCTTCTAGTTAAAAGCTAACACTGTCTCCCGAATAGGTAGTTCATACCATTAGGCATAAGTTGCTTTGTGCTAAGTAAACGCATGTTGAGTAAAAGTTTGACCTCTGGTGAAAAGCAGAGATAACTACGCCTCCAGCAAGGAGCGCTGATACCTACATGAGTTAAGTTATACTGTTATTCCAAAAGAGAGATATATTTTCGAGAGGGCTGACATACCGTCACATACCAGGCCAGCCTAAACCCCATGGTGACTTAAATCTTCCGTCTTCTCTTTGTTTTGCGAGATACGTTGGTTCACACCTGTAGCGTTAATATTTCATGACAGGATGCCGCCATGGATGGTTGGATCTGGCCAAGTAGCTAGTTGTTGTTACGCGTTTACGCCACACCACGTGCCGTATCGGTCCCTCCATCTCTCCGGCGCAAAATGCAAGAACCACCATTAATTTTAACGTCTGATTTACAGCACGTAGGGCGGCATATGCTCCCAATTTCCACAATGTCTCCATCCCTATTTCTGCTGCACGTAGCCCACGTTATCTACAACAAAAATCGTATGTAATAATTCTTTAAAAGGTCACACGTAGGGTCCAAGAATAATTCATTAACCTAACTTCATAAGCTAAAAATTGATAACTGAGAGCTGCAGCTAGAATCCAAATTAACATACGAGTTATTATTAGAGGACTTCTAATAGATTTGTAAAATGAGATATTAGGTAATGATATTAGCTTCAAATTAATAACGCCTTTCTAGTGGCCACTTCATGCGATATTTACCATCCTTGATGCTACCCTAAGAGGATTCCTGAAGAATATATATTCCATTCTGACCATGTGGGAAGGACAATATAGTCCACTAAAAACCTTTCTTTTTCTGCTTGAAGTTCAATTATGTATCATCCCAAACGACCTCACGACAAGGTATGACCCTAAATACCTGTTGGCAAATATTGAAATTATCAACACATGTATCATATTAAAATTTAGAGCTTTTCATGAGGTACCAGGTGTCTTTCATAGCCTTAGACCCTGTTGGGACTTAAATTTAATTCTATTCTAAACGATCACACGAGGATCCTAGATCCACAGACCTCTTGATTAGTATGAGACTCTGATAAATTGAAATGCGTATGTAATGATGCTCATGTCGGATTAGATTAGATGTCAATTGTCCTTAGTTTACGTATACGTAAGGTTAATTCAATGTCAAACGAGAGGTACGAAAGTGAGGTATGTATTGAAATGTATAACCCACCACTTAGTTCGTGGACTTATTGGTAGAGGGAAGCTTATGCGATAATGAAGGATAAAAGGATATCAATTCGATTACTCTACTACACATAGGTACCAGCCGGCAAAGACGAATTCTTCACCTTCCAGTGGTGCCGGTGTAATCGCTCAGTATGCTCTGCATATCTGGGATAGCCAAGAAGAGTCGCATCCAAATCGAAGTCGAAAGCAAACACATACGTATCTCCATTTGACAACTTCTCAACCATGCAGCACTCACCATTATCTTCTGAGTCCTCAACCCATCTCTAACCACACATTATCTCGCCTCGCCGGCCGATAAAAGCGTCACCCCAATTGCAAACAGGAGCTTGCCTCAATAATTACCGGCAATCACTCACTACAAATTTACGACGCTATTTATACCCGCAAGGAGGAAATTAAGTCATAATATACAAAGTTTAGGTCATGGTTTATGGGGGAGTGTTGCTCTAATGGGGTTATACATCTTGAGGAAGGACAGGCGGCTGAGATGTGGAGCGAGAGGGAAAAGAGGTCTCTGAAGACTATGCTGTGACTGACATTTGCGAGGGGTTCTCAACTTTAGACTTTTTGTGGGTGCCAAGATCAAGATTTCGGCTAATTAGCCAGGAGGGCTTCTTTTGTCGATGAGTTAACGGCACTCCCCCGCGCCCTGGACGGTACAAAAGAAGTCGGGCGAAGCTACTATACAGCAATCACGCTCTGTCAAGACTTTTCTGACATTTCAGCACGACCTTCGGGATGGAGTTGGAAGGAGGCTAGAAAGGCAGAGTGTGAATTCTCCGAGGTACCCACAAGTCTGCAACGCCCAGCTGGCCGGCCTCTTCGAACGCTTTAGAAGGGGCAATATGTCTTCGGATTTATTCCTAATGTCGGTATTAGAAGAGCCCCGCACCCAGTGGTTTTTGCGATTTTTCCCGACTGCCATACACCGCAAATGGCCATCTTTTCGTTGGCTGGAGAGGGGAAATAATGAAGGGCTAAGTGCTCCTCTAAGTGTATGATCGAATGAGGACTTGTAAGGGGTGGTGCTGTTTGAGGGGAGCTGTATGGGAGGCATAGGAGGGGATATACTAATGGTATAGATATCCTTGGCCTGTAGGCAGAGAGGACCTGCATGTCCTACATAGTCATAGACTCAGACAGGACAATAAAATGAATTAATAATAATAATACACACAGGTACCAGACTCCTTTTAATCCCAATAGATAGCCCGTGCGGGATCTCCTACTTACAGCAGTAAACAACGCTAGTACAGGGTATACGCAATCTCCATTTGCCAAACACCAGTCGGTCGGGACTACTGATTATCAAGCCAAGTAGGATCGACAAAGTGTATACCAACACAGAAATAATAGAAAACTCAACAACCAAACCTTTCATCAATTCGAGAAATTCGAAAATTCATTTTTTTCCTCTTTCCTCCCTTCTCGACCTCGTCGCATCTATCTCTGAATTGTGATCGAGCTCAGGCATTTTCACCATGCCTCCAGTTCGCAAAAAGCGCCCCAACGTCAAGTTGGACAATTCGAGAGTCCACCCGAGGGCTCTCCAACAATTACCTGGCCTTGCCCAGTCTCCGAAATGCGCGGAGATGAGCAACGTCTCTACCAAAGGGAAGGAAAAAGCCCTCCCCACCGTCACTGAGCCCGATACTGACATGATCGGGTCAGTCGAAATTATTGAGGAAATTCCTCAACCATCCTCCGTCCCCCACGGGATTGGAGAATCGTCAAAATCTCCCCAGACCGCGCCAAAACTGTCGGAGAACGCTGCACCCAAAGCATAGTCAAAATCAACGTCGCAGCCCAAAGCTGCCACGAAAGCAGATAGCCCTCCAGAACTTTGACCCAGTATCGAAGCCGAGCAACGACGTGCCGCCGAAACAGCGGCAAATCTGGCCCTTTGCTCCGCCGCCATCTCTGGCGTCGAAGTCACCCTTCTTCCTTTGACCAACGGGTCAAACAGACAATTTGTAGACTCGATGAGAGTCTACTTACGCGCAGCCATTGCGCAATACATGGCCACGGGCCCGGCCTCCACGCCACCCGTCCTCCCTCCTCGCCCGGCGAACCCGATCCCAAGGGCTCCCGACGTCAGGAGCACAACGATTTCCGCCGTCCCAGCGCTGCCTATAAAAAGCATCTGGGCCACGGTGGCCAGAAACGGACTGTCACAAAAGGTAGTCCCTACTGTTAAGGCTGTTCCGCAACCTGCGGCAAAAGCCCAAAATAAAGAAGCTCCGAAGGCTAAAGTCGACAAACGACTGTTCCTTCGCTTAGAGAGCGATCACCCATGGCGCCAGCTTTCGCCTGACGGCATAAGGCATCAATTATGTAGTAGGCTACTGTACACCTTGAGTGAAAAAAGCTCTATACACCGTGTCAGAACCGGATTTGCGACTCTGACAGCGGATGAAAATGAAAGGGAAGAGCTCTTAGATGCCTCACCGAAGTTGTCGGACTTCAATGCCAAAATCGAGGAAGCCTCCAACCTTGTCGCCTTTCGGATCGCGAATGTTCCAGCAACTATAAAATTAATCAACCGTATTGAGACGGTCGATGCCGGTAGGATCTCACTGGAGATCTACCGCAAAACACAATGACGTCCATGCCAGGTGCGACCGCACGGGACATGTCGTCCTGGAGCGCCATACAGAAACTGGGATGCCCTTTTCAACCGGGACTCCGCCCCTCGTGCGGGCTTCCGAATTCTTGACGAGTCCGGAGCGGCTACAAAGATCCAGCCTCGTCGCCAAATTGAACAGTGCAAATGCTGTTTGGGCTTCCACGCCACCCGTGGTTGCTCCCGCGCCCCAGCGTGCTGGAACTGCGGATCAAACATGCACTCGGAAGCCGAGTGCAAGGCCCTCACAAAATGTCGCAACTGTGGGGGATCCCACCAATCGGATTCTCGGGACTGCAAAGTCAGACCCAGAAAGTCTGGACCAGTGACCAAAGAGCAGCTCGCGTGGATCAGCCACATCGAACAAGGGGAGTTCGCGAAGGTGGCACGAGCACGAGCAGCAGCAAAGAAGGCCGAAGAGGCAATCACCGCCGCTGCAAACGACGTCTTGATGGCCGAGGCTACAGGTTTCGGAGTTCTGGAATTTGAAGAAGAAGTTTGAGGACACAGCAACCTCGACGATGTCCCTTTTGGGGCATATACTAACCAATAGCAGGATATTGGCTGGATAAAAAGTGCCTGCTATCTCATCTCTTGCTCTCAGCAGAAAATGGGCAAATTTGTCATCTGGAAGGTGTGACAGACGAGGGAATGTGTGAGGAGCGCATTTACTGGGTCCAATATGGAGGAATCTTCAGGTATTCAGAGCTGTTTTGATTTTTGTGATTTTTTGTTCTTGATCAATCAGCTGCACTTTTGGTAGCAATCCACGAGGTTGGAACGAGTTAGGCTGTAGGAAAAGTTACAGAGAACCCTGCCGGATCTGCCGGTCCTTGACCCAATGTAGAAAAGATAGCGTTAGCTTAGGACCAAAAGTAAAAAAAAACCCTTCAACTACTTCCATTAACCATCACCTGACTTATCTCTGTACTCCATAATTTCAACAGTATGTATTCATTCTTTTCTCTTTCCAAGAACTTTGCAAACGTGTATGTCACAGACTGACTGATGTGGAGATGGTATCCTGCCAATCTCCGGCTCTAAGACTATATGGCACTGCTATGTCATGGATAGATTCATGGTGTTGAGGTAGTGTCTGATCCTAGCTTCAGCTGGTATCCCTCTAGACAAGTTCTATTTACTTCGATGGAATTCTAAGCTACTCTGGCAATTAGTTTCTAGATGTCACGGGATGGTATTTTGTACTCTTACCAGTTCAGTGGGCTTCAATCAGATTCTAGGTTACTCTCAGGAGTTCAACAGGAATTGGGTGTAACCGCTGGTAAGCCGATTGGTCCCTGTAGCCTATGTTGGTTAACTTAGGCCTGATTCGAGTGGCGTTATTG